GCAGCTACCAGTGACTAATCAAGCCACATAAGCAAGGTGATAACTTAGCTAAGAAGGTGATCGATTTGAGAGAAAGGAAATAAGATAGAGAGATTTAGGGGAGTGATTGAAAGCTGGCCACAGGCCTATGTATACCTCTTGGGCACTAACAATTGGGAATCAAGAACGAATTAGCCTATCTCTATCCCTCTATAATCAAAATAGAGAGCCGAGGGGTAAAACCTCACTCTCCTAACCACCACTCTCCTACACCTCCACCATTGCCATCGTAGTGGCGACTAACAATATTCTCCATGCCTCTCAAGGCTAGAGCAGACAGCAATCTTTTTTTAGTTTTGCACTGGTGGTCCTCTTAAAAAAATTGCACGAATCTTAAAAGCAGTCTATTTTAAAAGTTAATTACTATAATTAATCACGAATTGATCATCATAGATTAGTTGGTTGAGTTCCTTGTGGTGGAACCTACTCATCCGGGTTCAAGTCCTCGACTTGATACGGGTGATCGTATTTTCCTGGATTTATTCCAGGATTTAACGGCGCCATGCTTTTAGTGGTAGGCGACATCCCCGTCCCGTTAATAGCGAGGCGCCTGTAGTGACTTCGTGAATCTCGATATCCACTAGCTCAGTTCTTCGGAGGTGGCGAGGCGCCTGTAGTGACTTCGTGAATCTCGATATCCGCTGGCTCAGTTCTTCGGAGGTGCGCATGGGGGTAGGATTTGCGTACGTGTGTTTCATAGGAGTGAGTGTGCGTGCATGTTGTGGGCATCTATGTTGTACTGTGTAATTCTAAAAAAATACTATAATTAGAGGGTGTTTGGTTCTTTAGTCGCTCCTAAAATTTATGTCACATCGAATGTTTAGATGCTAATAAGGAGCATTAAATATAGATTAATTACAAAACCAATTACATAGATGGAGGCTAATTTCCGAGACGAATTTTTTAAGCCTAATTAATCTATCATTAGCACATGTTTATTGTAGCACCACGTTGTCAAATCATGGACTAATTAGGTTTAAAAGATTCATCTCGCAAATTAGTCGCAAGTTATGTAATTAGTTTCGTAATTAGTCTATATTTAATACTCCATGTATGTATCCAAACATTCGATGTGACATAAATTTTAGGAGGGGATGTGGTAACCAAACATACCCTTAATCTCGTCGTGGGTCCGGATTAGGCCTGGCCCTACCCATGTCCAATTATAGCCCGGATGCGACTGCTGGTGTAGTTACATGCTGGCGCCCCTCTAATAGTGGGGCCGCCGCCGCCGCCACCGGCGGCAGTCCGCTTGGCCGTCCTCTGTGGTACCTCTGTCTCACTGGACCCCACGCCCAGGCACGCACGAGGCAGGGGCGATGCCCATCGAGAAGAACGAGGTTGCCGATTCACTCAAGTCATGCACAGACCTTCCACATCTACGAGGTTTCTTATCCCGCATTGCATTATCATCTTTGATTTGAAATATCTCTACTTTGTACCATGCCAGCGATGAAACAAAAATCAATATATTATTGTATAATTGTTTAAAATCTTGCCAGCCATCTGAGTTTTGGTTTTCATAAATTAACTAAAAAATTAGCTCATGTACAGTGAGCCGTTGGTGTAGTGGGCGGATAAGCGCCCTATTCGTTTAGGTTTGTTTGGCTTATAAGCCGTATTTTTTCAGCCAACGAACAGTATTTTTCTCTCACATACCAAATCAGCCAACAGTACTTTCAGCCATAGTTTATCAGGCAAACAAGCCCAAATGAACAGAGCGATTTTGAGAGTCAGTATATTCAGCGATGGTGGGCGGATAAGGATTTTGAGAGTCAGTATTCAGTGATGAAGAACACTTACTGGAAGTGCCCAAGTTGTTTCCATCCACCCTGCCGATTGTCTCCTGCCACTGGCCATGTTGATTTTAGCAGAATAATGCACCGTTGCTGCTACCATTGTTGAAACTGCAAAATATGTTCAGTCTTTTGCATTTTTCTTTCTCATACTCATTAGTCATTACATGAATAATGAAAGATTCTAACCTTGTGACTCCTCTGTTGATGGAGGCACCTCGTGAGAACCGCTGCTCTTCCTGACAATACTGATGTTGATGCATTCTGTTACTAAACGACAGCATTAAATTTGGATCAGACTGTCCCTCATACTGATGATCTTAATTTGGAGACGGCAAGAATAGTGTCTCATTGCGACTGGGTAACCCATGGATTCAACCTGAGTTGGGGCTCGGCGTAGCTAAGAGCAGCACCAGTGTTGGTAGAAATCAAACCATGGACGTGAAGACTGAACTTTTGATACTGTAGACGCAAAAATCAACCTCCAAACTTGGTTTGACGTAAGTAAGTAAATTATTGCAGCGCAATATGACGCGTCTATGACATTGCGTCCTTTTCCTAGGCCCTCGAGGCACTCATGGTCCAACAATATGTTTTAGCATCTTGCAACATAAAACTTTTGATGCAATAATGACCATGGCTCGAATCGAAACATTCCTAAATCGATGCAATAGCAACCATAAATTGCATCAGAATTCAGCACTATCAATCTGATGAAATCGGTGCCCTTGGTCATAGTTATTGCACCAAAATGCAATACTATTGCAGCAAATTTATTTTCAATGCAATAATGTCCACCTATTGCACCCAAATTTTAAAATTGATACAATATATAGTAGCCACCTTTTACTTTAGATTTGCATTTGTTGCAAGGTGGAGTGATGCAACAGGGTCAATATGTGTATCAAAACTAAATTTCCTTCCGCCAGACTTCGATGTGATGTGTGTTGTGTTGAACTAAGAACTTGTAATGTAAACTTAAGAACTATGTTTGTAATAAAATGATGTGGATTATGAATGTTTCTTGACTTGTAAATAGATCTAGGATGAAGGCTGCAAAGATGATGAGTACTATCTACCTTGGGACAACCAAGATTCATTTGGTTAAACCGGGAGAGGCCGAAGAAAGACCCTCATTTTATCTTCATTAGTTTGGAGGGTCCTCGGAGAGAGAGAGAGAGAGAGAGAGAGAGATGGGACTGAGGATGGTGTCTGGTGTTTTTTTTGAGATAGAAAATGAGGTGCAGCAGGTGGTATATACATTGCAGATAAATGGGCTGGGCTAGGTTGTTTTTCTAGTGGTGAGCCTCCTATGGAGTCATTTGATAAAAAAATACTGCCTCTGTCCCTTTTTATCTGTCGTTTACGTTTTTTAAGAAACAACTTTGATTAAATATATATTAAAAAATATTAATATTTATAGTATATAATTAGTATCATTGGAAAGATATTTGAATCTAGTTTTTTAATAAATTTATTTGGAGATACAAATATTGCACGTATTTTCTACAAATCGAGTCAAACTTGTGGCACAAAAACCGGAAACGACAAACAATAATGGACAGAGGGAGTATGTCTAGATTATTTATTCTAGATGCTGCTTTAGGAGCTCTGGCAAACAGGCCTGTACTGTGAATCATGAATAATGAACAATCACGTGGTGAAGATGACACGCCGATTAGGTGATCAGGAGCTAGCTAGGGACTAGGATTGACAGATTGTGGTCCTTTGCGCATGCATCACATGTTGTACAACAGTTAGCTAGCTAGACTCCCAGGACCTAGGCCACGTTTAGTTGGTACACCAACTCGGCGCCGCCAGATTCTGCGGTCACTGAAGCTACAGTAGCTTATTCGTTTTTATTTGGTAATAATTGTCCAAACTTTGATTAATTAGGCTCAAAACGTTCATCTCGTAAAGTACAACCAAACTGTGTAATTAGTTTTTGATTTCGTCAACATTTAGTACTCCATGCATGTACCACAAATTTGATGTGACGGGGAATCTTCTTTTTGCATAGTGCCAAATTCTAGAATTTGGGAGAACTAAACAGGCCCCTAATGGGTTGGCCCGCTTGCATCTTACTAATGGGCCAGCACCCAGTACAGTGAGCTACCAGAGGTTCATTATTTGGCATGGAGATCAAGTGGCAGGTATGGATCAGTACACGTCTTATGCAAGAATCATGTGTCCTGGGCATTATCTAAGGTCCACTCATTCCACAGCCATAACTCCATAAGAAGAAATATAATGGAGCTCTAAAAGTGTAAATGTTTTTGACACGGAGTCATGGAAACAAACAAAACGAACAGAAATGCATAAGCAGCTGGGTGCTGATAGGATAGTCATATGATGTATGATATAGCCCTCATTTTCATGCATTTTCAAGAGAAAATCATATTCTCGTGGAATCCATAAACCTGCATAAATATAATATATATAGATATTTTCACAAAACCTGCAACTTCGCGCATCAATAGTTCATTCATAGGTGTACTTTCTTTTAGAAGTTAGAATTCAATCTCGGTATTGAAGATTTAATATGGAAATTGCAAATCCTTATGTCAGGTACATGTACACCAGAGGACAATTTTGTCATGTAGTGCGCACACACCAAAAAAATGTCATTTTTGTATAAAGTTTTAAAATAATTTTCAATCTCAACTTTTGCAAGAAATTAGTACATATATGGATCCAGTAGTATAGATGTGCCAAGCTTTAGTATTTTTCTTTTTGGCAGGAAATTCGATCGGCACTGTTTTGTCTACATACGTCACGTATGTATTCAAAAGCTACACGTGAAGATCCATCTGTATATACTATGTATCAACTAGTATCATATCATTGTTGTCATCGTCGATCACAAGATTGCAATCCAGAAATGATGGTGCTTGCATCACGCGGATTATTAGACTAAACAACAGCACATCAGAAGAAAATTATTCTTTTGACCATAGACAAACAAATGATTGAACTTACATGTTTATTGGTCCATATGTGTATGTTGCTTTTGAGATTAATAATTATTAAAAATAACAAACGACTAGCTACCATGCAATGCATCTATCTGAGGCATACTGCTAGTCTGTGTATATAATGACCACTCTGCAATCCGAAGATCCTTGTGCTGAATTCCACTGCCAGTCTGTAATTGATACTTGAGAGCTAGTAGGAGTTGAGATTGCTCTTGCGTAGCTTGCGCTCGTCAGAGAGTTGTTTGGCGAAGTGAGCAAGCGCCTCTGCATTTGTGCCCTCACCGGAACAGGACTCGTACACCCCAGTGTCGATGTTCACTCTCGCCACTGGCTTCTTGAGCAGCTCCTGGCCGATCCCGATCAGAGACTCCATGTTCTCCTTTGTCGCGATGTCCACTGACGATGCGTTCCCAGTCAAAGTATCATCCTACATAAATACGATAGCATCGATCATCGTCGATTTTATATCAAGAACAGAATATATATGCTTTAGTATATCCTACAAACGTATCATACCTGAATGCGAAGGTAGTTCTTCTCACAGTGGAGGGCCTGAAAGAGCACGGATGCATGGATGTCAACCATGTCGGAACTGGCATGTGAGAAGATGTCGATGATCGGCGTGAAGCCACCGTTGTACAGCCACTGAATGAGGCCCCATTTCGCGCACTGCTCAGCGGTGTACTTCTCCGCCTGCTTCGCCGACCCAGTGCCGACGGAGATGACGAGGTAGTTTGTGTACTCGGTCGGCCTACCGACGTTGAAGTCCAGGTTCCGACGGTGCACCTCCTTGGTGAGCATGGACATGGCGACCATGGTGGGGTTGTTGGCCGCGACGCCGCCGTCGACGAGGTGGTACTCCTGGGACCTGCCGTCGGCGGCCTCGGTCTTGAAGAAGTGCGCCGGGAAGTAGGTCGGCGCCGCCGACGTGCTGATGCAGATGTCGGAGAGGTGCGCGTTCTTGAGCGTGTCGTTCTTGGCCTCGTACGTGGAGAAGATGATGGGCTGCAGGTACTTCACGTCGAACGCCGGCACGATGATGTTGGTGACCGTGTCCGCCACCTTGACGTCGTGCGTGAGGCCCTTGATCTTGTCGTGCAGGAACACGCCGTCGTACTTGGGACCCTCACCAGGCCCAGCAGGTTCCTCACCGGCGTCAGGATCCCAGCCCTGCATGCAGTGAAGCACCATTAGGTAGGGTAGATGAAAGTGTAGTTGACCGAGGTAGAACAGATCACGGCGTTTCTATACTTTTTCTGTGGGAAGATCTTGGGTCCGTTCTCGAGGTAGAACGTGGTGAGGTCCTTGGCGGCGAACAGCGGCCGGTTGTTCTCGTCCGGCGCCGCCAGCATGGACGTGAGCAGGGCGCCGGTGCTCGTCCCGGCGATCACGTCGAAGTAGTCGGCGATCCGAGCATCTGGGCCGTCCAGCTCCTGGAGCTTCGCCTCGAGGTATGCGATGATGGTCGCCGGGATGAGGCCGCGGATGCCGCCGCCATCGATGCTCAGAATCGTGATGAGCTTCCCTGTCGACGGCGGTGGCTGCGGCACGGTGGCGCAGTTGGCCGTGCCGTTGCTAATGCTCCCCATGTGGCTGATGAAGCTGGATACGAGATCGATCAAGTAGCTACACTAGTAGAGAATCTAAGGATGGATTGCTCCTCGCTTCTGTTGGTGTGTATGTGTGTTTCTTGGGTCTTGTGCTCTGGATCCGCAGGGTCTGGCAAGCTATATTTATGTCCCTAAGATGGTCAGAACAGTATGAATGCTGAAAATGACAAGTTTTGGCTGAGCTTGCAGCTTCACGTTTTTTATACAACTTATTAATTTCCTCCTTTCCAGTCATGCGCCGGCAGCAGTGATAGGGACTTTCTCCCTTTCCTCACATGCTTTTCATGGCTTAAGTTCCTGCGTACTGGCCGTGTGACCTGGCAATAGGGTTGATAAGGATGAAAGGAAAATGTCACAGAATATGATATTGCTTGTGATGTGGACGATGATCACCGGTACTAATGTAACTAGGGCTCTCAGACGCTTGTAGAGTTCTGCTGTGTCAATTGTCTAGGACCATTGCAGACTTGACTTACTTGTCTCTACGACTTTATCTCTGAATTTTATCATTTCTTTCATGCTATATACTCACTCTTCCCCTTCTCCTTTATGTCACTACCTTTCTCCACATAATCCGAGTCGATTAGGGGATGACATATGATTCCTAGTGCAAGTTTCATTACACTGTTTCCGAGAGTGAAATGTAGGTTTGAAATGAATAAAACTCCATATTACATAGTTTTATTTCATAGTTTCATACATCTAAATATTTAAATGATGCATCTAGAGTCTCAATGGGGTTTCATCAAAGTTTCATAGGACGAAACGAGTTTAATGGGGGATGAAACTAGTTTACTCCCTCCAGTTCCCCAAAGGAAGTCGTTTTAGACAAGGATTGAGTCATTCAAAATATAAATCATGAATGACTTTTAAGTCGTTGAGTTTGGAAATATGAAAACCATATAAATAGATTTGTCTTGAAACATATTTTTATATCTATATACATATGTCACTTTTTAATAAAAACTTTTATAAAAAAATAGAAGTCAAAGTTATGCTTTGGAGACCAGGTCATTGTCCAAAACGACATCCTTTAGGAAACTAGAGGGAGTACAGTGTTTCCAACACATGTGAATCTTAATTAGAAATTGGGACATGAAATCCTTAGTCAGACCGGCCTAAAATGAAATGCTCCCAATGTAGTCTCACTCAATTTCCGCGTGAGGTATAATGAAAACAAAACACTCCCGGTGGAGTTTTATTCGGTTTCAATGCGTTGGCGATAGTGTGTGCAGGGTTCATTTGGATGGAACTCATCTCCGGCCTCTCTCTCTCTCTCTCTCTCCTCATAATTTCTATGCCATATATGTCATCATTTTTGCTGATATATTACCTCATTAAATAGGATTGAAGCTCTCATTGGAACCGGCCATAAATAAAATACGACGAAGCTTGGTTTAAACAACTATGCTCAATGCTTGGTTTTATTCTACTGTTTCATTCCATAACTGGTCTAGAGTTGAACACAGAGCCCACGGAAACTTTATTCTTCTCTCTTCTTAAAAGCGTTGCTACATCATAAAAAATGCTAAGCGACAACCTACTAAATACGGATGAAACTCAAACAAAACTTTCATTGAGGGCTTGTTGGGATTGAGATATATACGTGGGTCCAAACAAGGCCTCAGACTTCACGACGTACGGACATCACCCATCGTCGTCTTCCAAAGTAAAGGCGCCGCGCTACACATGCTCATTTCAATTTGCCAACGTGCTTAAAAATCTTAACGGGGTCTTGATGGTCATGTGCATTTCCGTCCCTAGCTAACCCCTGACTAAGCTAAGGCGATATATACCAGGTCCTTTCATCATCGAAACCTATGTACATGTGTATATACATATATGTAGTATAATATAATAAGCGCACTCCTTCACGCACGTACATATATAGTACGTCGCACGTGCTGCATGCATACTTTCTACGTTGGTTCCAGAGAGACAGAGAGACAAATATACGGCGGAGCAGGCAAGGAACAAGTAGCCAAAGGACGAACTCCTGCCGACCCCACAGCGGTGGTTGCACGCACCGACGCACGCACGCACGCATGAAGCATGACGGAAATGAAGAGAGCTAGCTCCGACAAGTCATCTCGCATGATCGGCGCCCCCGACACGTCCACGTCGAACTCTCAGTCTACATGTGCATGGCCATATGCATGCAAGTGTGCAGTGCACCAAGCTAACAAGAATAGTCGTACCACACGTGTAATTACCAGCTGCATAGTAGCTGTGTGTTTATTTATTACTACACTAAATATGTCGATATCGAGCATAGTTGTTTGAATATCAAATTTTTGTTTAAAAAAAAATATCAAATTTTGTTTCAGCGACAGTATATGGAAGTTTGGCACGCATCCACATCCAAGTGAAGAGAGTTAGCTAACTGCTCATAATACAGTCATACTGGGCTACTGGCACATGCTTCACGCACGTACGACACATGTGCTGCACGTCATGGATTCGTCGTCATTCGTAAAAAAAAACGACAGGGACCTGTGTGTCCGGTGGTCTTCCCGCGACGTGCCTATGGGAACTCATTGTTTTGTTTCAGTCCCCAACTCACCGGACGACGGACTCCACGTTGTCGCTGGTGCAGGAGCTATCACAAGTCACGCCACCATGAGTCAGACAACTCGGCGTCGAGATTACAGTGGGCTCGCCCACCCCTAACGACGTGATGCCCACATCACGTGAGGCTGCTCGGCGTCTCGCACGGTTCACCGAGGAGGCGCAGCATAAGCGAAAGTCACCATTAATCGCTAGTCCACCAACGCAGAAGGCGACAACCTGAAATCGCGCCCTGCCAATCAGGAGCAGACGGATTGCCGCTGGCGCACAAACCAACCTCTAAGCGGAGGAGGTACTACTCATGAAGATGGCTTCACGCTGCAGGCGGCACCAGTTTCATACGTGTCCAAGAGAGCATACGACGCCATATTCACAGGAAACTTGACGTCGAGCCAAGTTGCAGGTCTGGGACGAGCTGTTCCCAACGACCGACAACAGGTGGTAGAAAAACCAACGTGCTCTTCTCAGATGTCGGAGTAGGATCGCATGACCAGCCAGCAGCGGAGGCCCACCGAGGGTTGCGAGATTGCTCTTAGCTCGGTTGTAGACCTTTTGTGTAATATCGAAGTTTAAATTATTTCCTAGGACGGTCCAGTCTATCTTGTAAGACCTCCGAGGGCGCCTCGTCGAAGCGTGTCATTTGTATGGTTAAACTCGTCTTCTTAATTACAATGATGCGCAAATCTTTTGCGTATTCGAGAAAAAAAACTTCATTGTGTTAGCTTCGACTTTAAGGTTTGAGAGCCTGATAATGCTTCAAACCAAATCAGAGCTAGAAAGGGACACAATAATCTTCAAAACACTTCAAACCAAAGCAAAAACATGCACGCAAAGTTTACGGATTGTTATTATACTTCCATTTACAGGTAGGTGAAATCCAGATTCCTCCTTACAAAAGCTATAGACTAATTTTTCAGCATGATGGAAGGGTAAGTGGGAGGTTGAGGGAGACCTAGTAATTCCACATCAAGTTTTGGAGTGGGTGCCCACCAACACATGACTAGATGAGTGTGTTTAGTTTGAATAATGGAATGGTCCATCGTCTTCATTCTCACCCTATAACTTTTGTTTTGTTTTCGGAATAAAATTGGTTGATTCTTCACCTCCAGATCCCTCGTAAGCTATCAACCTCTGAGGTTCCTTGAGGGCCAACAACCTCTGAGGAAATATTCCTAACCATCGAGGAAATTAGGTTCCTTGAGGGCCAGCAACCACCGAGGAAATATAGAGGAAGAGAAAAAAAAAATCAATGAAAGCCCATTTCCATGCCCTCCTGAGAATCAAATATGGAACTTGAGGCTCCATTTTAAGCACACTTACTACTAGACCTACAAGCAACTCGTGACTAAGTGAAATATTCTTGTCTTTTGTATTCACTTTGTTGAATCTTGTAATGAATAATTGAGATCATAAACGATTTTAAAAGTAAAATGTTTGAACTAAAAAATTTAGATCTCGTCGAATACTATAACTTTGGTTTAGCTTGTATTTCAAGCCAAGGTCATTTGAAAAATTCAAAAAATTTAAATTTCAAAGCTATGAGAACTTCCTTTGTGGTTTCCAATTATACACAAGAAAATATGAATTACCTTGACGGTTTCGAATAACACTCAAGAAAATATGAATTACCTTGGCGGTTTCGAATAGCACCCAAGGAAATGGGGAATTACCTTGGTAGTTTGTAATAACAATCAGGAAACATGGAACTTGCACCAACATTGCACAGACATCTATACATATCCAAATAGATCTCGCGTGATTCTTGCTTTACGTAGTTTATTCAGCTACCATTCATATTTTTAACTATTCAAATTGGAGCCCGTTGCCGATCAATGGGGCTGGACACGTTAGTAAAAAAAAAAATTGACTCGCGGAGGTGGCGGAAGGCCAACAGCGCCGCACCCAGCCATCTGCTAGAGTTGAGAGAGAGAGGCGGGTCTTCGGCTCCATGGTCGGCTGCTTTCACGAGACGCGCACGCCCGCGCAAAGCAGAGCCGCATGCCTGGCTGCGCGCCCACCTCAAGCTAAGCCACAAGGCAGCGCTGCTCCTCCTCACGTCAAGACGCCTGGGCTCCTTCGCCCGTGCCCGCCCGACGGCCCGACTCCGCCCTCCGCCGCCATCACGCCAAGACCAAATTACCACGCACTGCTAGCGTTGAGAGGGACGACCCTGAGAGAGACGACCGAGAGATAAGGGGTAAGTTTGTCTTTTCACAGGGCTTTTGTTAATTTTTAATTGCTTTGATCCGGATGTAGATAACTGAGTTAAGAATTGGGGTAAACGGAGCCTTCGTTTGGAAAAGTAGGGGTAAAAACACAAAGTGGAAGAAAGTGGGGGTAAAATCACAATTGGGGTTTGAGATAGAGGCAAAACGTAATATTCGGAAGGGCAAACTCGTCATCTTTCAACT